TGTCCTCGATCCCAGAGAAATGAAAAATGTCGAGCGCCCAAACTTTTGTGATGACGTCGTGCCAGGCAACAAACCTTTCATTAATATTCATTTTGAAGTCTTGCTGGTTACGTCATTCAGCTGGCTGCAGCTTTGTTTTGATTTCTACGATCGGACTACGAACGATAGCGACAAATAAACAGTGCCAAAAATGCTCCTATTTTGTAATAAATTTCACTATTTTGGAAACGGGGGATCATTTTCTGGTTAAGGGGGTTCGCTGGCAAAAGGGGGGTTCGCTGAAAAAGGGGGGTTCGCCCGAACCCCTAAAAACCCCCCTGGCTACGGGCCTGTCTAGGTAGGCCCTAAAGCCTAGGCTAGGCCTGGCCCAGTTAATAATACAGGAACTTGTACCTCGCCTTTTGCCAAGGAATACATACAAGGCGCAATCAAAATAATTTTTTTAAAAAAGATAGCCAATTGGGGATCAAAAAAGACAACAGTAATGACAAAAAAAGCAGAAAATTTTGACAGTTAAGTGAGATTTATTTAGGAAAACAATGTTTCTTGAGAAGCCGAAGAAGTCGAGGCATTTAGGTTTATATCTAGACTTAGGCCTTATTTTTTGACAAGCCCGGGCACACGTACACTGTTTATTAATCAAACACTTAATTAATACGTAAATGTATTCTTGCATATTCTATAGAAATTCTATAGAATATTCTATACAAATGATTTGACAAGTTCTCTATAATAAAACTATAAAATGTCTATATTTATTCTATAAAAAATTATAGTCCTTACCTGTATTTTTTTTAAATGTATTATAACAATTTTATAGGGATTATCTATAGGAACATATAAAATCTATATAGAGTATAACATATATGAAATTTCAATATAAATTTATTTATCGGACCCCCGTTGGGGAAATCCTGGCGCATCAAGTAAAGAGAGGAATAAAATGCATCGAGCTCTATGGAAACATTTATAATCTGTAAAATTGTTTCTCTATAGAAAGTATATATAAAATGAATACGAACGCTATGGAAGTGTTTATCTGTAAATGAAATATTAAAAATTATTTTAAAAATCATATCTATAAAAAAAATAATGTATTAATGTATATATAAAATCTGTTCAAACTCTATAAAAAAATTTTGGAACCGCTAATACGTAGCCTTATTTTAAAAATCATATCTATAAAAAAAATAATGTATTAATGTATATATAAAATCTGTTCAAACTCTATGAAAAATTCAAATCAGATTGGTCACTTCATCAAGTGACCAATCAGCTGATTTGAATTGTCACTTCATGTAGAGCCAACGGAAGCGGTAGTATTTTGAATTTTTATCTGGACGTGTCATGATGTTAGGCAGTTATAAACATACTCCTTGGAAGTATTTTAGCAGTACTCTATTGGTAAGAGTTGGTTTTGTTTTATTGTTTTATTATTTATGGGGGGGAGAGGGGGAGCGTGTCTGCCCCTAAACTTATCCCTCACATATTTACCTAACAACAATGCTTTATATGGTGACAGCAACATTTATCAACAGCCTAACCTCTTTACTGTGATAGCCCACCTAACAACCAATTAATGTTAGTGTCGAATTGCACAAATCTGATTGGTCACTTCATCAAGTGACCAATCAGCTGATTTGAATTGTCACTTCATGTAGAGCCAACGAAAGCGGTAGTATTTTGAATTTTTATCTGGACGTGTCATGATGTTAGGCAGTTATAAACATACTCCTTGGAAGTATTTTAGCAGTACTCTATTGGTAAGAGTTGGTTTTGTTTTATTGTTTTATTATTTAGTTAGTTTACCACTCTAGCAGACACGCTAGCCTCCTCCTAGGCCTAGTAGTAGTGGTAGATGAAGAGGCCTGGCATAGCCTAAGGCCTAGGCCTAGCTGTAACGGTAATACTAGCCTAGCCGCTGTACAGAGACAGACAGAACTGAGGTTCTCTCTAGGCCATTGAGGATATAGGGCTAGTCCTAGAACCTGTTGTTGGCCTAACCAGGCTGTAAGTTAATTCCCCTAATAGTCTAGCATGCCATAAGAAGAGTGGTAAAGTGCATTTGGGACGTGTCCTCACTAATGTCCATATTTAATAAAATAATGGGTTAGGGTTAACCGGGGAGGGGTAGGTGTAAAGAATTGTATCATTATTTGCAGAAAGTTAATGTATTAAATCTCTAGGCCTATACTAACATAAGTGGTGATTTTATTTCAGGATACTCAAGTCTCAGTTACTATTGTAATTAAGTGAAAACTCAATCCGGTCAACTCAATCTTGTAGTTGAAAGCATTAATGTTTGTATAAAGACGTATCTGTGAAGGAACAGAAAATTACCTGACATAGTGCTTTAATAAAATAATTGGTTTACGATTAACTTGGGGGGGGGGGGGTGTAAAGAATTGTATCATTATTTGGAGAAAGTTAATGTAATCAAAAGGCCTATACTAACAACATAAATGGTGACTTTATTTCAGGATTCTCAAGTCTCAGTATCTACTGTAAGTGAAAAATCAATCCAGTCAACTCAATCATTGTAGTAGGAAAGCATATTAATGTTTGTTTGAAGACGTATCTACGTGAAGGAACAGAAAATTACCTGACTTACTAAAGGTGAATATAATGTTTTGTTGACGTTTTA